GACCAAAATGCAGGACCCTACAATTGGCTCTGTTGAATCGCATACAGTTTAGAAAGCAAAGTGGTCCAGTCTGAACCTCAGGACTCAGCAGGAGTGTCTTCCCAGACTCTTCTATAACAGCAAACCCATTGTATCTTAAATGCAGACTGTGAGATGAAGAGCACCAAGAATCAGTACCTTTAGCAAAAGGAAGAGACACACATTTTTACCCAAAACCCTAGAACAGGTCTTTAATGCCACACACTTCAGATTCCAGTGCAAATACATTAGGATATCCCTCTGGCATTCTGTATGAACCAAGGCTCCTCCATCATGCACACGTGAATAAACACCACAGAGTAACCTTTACAGCACTATCGCACCCAAGAAGGTACAAACAGTACTAACAATAGAGCTAGCTTTTAGGTAGAGCGGAATTCATGCTTCTATCGCACTTCTACTCCTAACAGGCTCTTGACGGCCTTTGTAAATATTACTGAACTAGCTGACACTGACAACGGCAGGGATGTGGCTGCATTTGAGCCTTGCCTTAAAACAAATCTCAGAAATGCTCATCAGCACTGCTGCTCTTCTAAGCCAGCCACGCATAAGAGGAATTTCTACCAGATTGGTCACCTGCAGCAGTGTGGAGGAGCCTGAACATTTTTCAGGGCCTTTCTACAAAAGGTGGAAGGGTTGGACAGCAAAGAAGCATCCTAAAATATCAGAGTTTCTGAATGTTATTCACTGGCTACAATCAAAAATGCAGTCTTCCCTGGAAGAGTGTGTTAAACGGTTTAATTTTCAGTGTTAGTGATCATGATGCTTGATGAAATGCTGTTAAAAAAAAAAATTGTTAGTGAAGCCAAAGTTAACCCTGATCCACAAACGGCCTTGATCTGTCCTAAACATGTGCACTCCAGTAGCAAAACCTCAATAACCTCTCAATTAAGTTTTATTGAAAATTAAGGCATTGCAACACGACAAAAAAGAAAACTTTTCTTCAAAGGCAGACACATCATTTTTCTACAGCACAATCAGGACAATTGCAGCTTGTTATTTCTTTTTCTTGGAAAGTAACTATGCCAAACTTTCAATAAATACAAAATTCCTGATTCTCTGCTGGAAATACTTCCCATGATATTCTAGAAAGTGAAAGGTAGAAAACTGTCATCTATGACACTTTGTACCCAAGAAATGAACACAGCTCCCCAGAGGGTGAGAGAAAAGATATTCCTCATTAATCTAGTTCTGCACTTTGCCTCTGTTTACCTTTTACAACGAGCTATTTATTGGATTCCAAGCTGCTCTGCAACAGCGCTTGGGCTCCGAGCTTCAGTCACCACAGCCAGATGATACAGCAAGGACCACAGAACTAGCTTCCCCAAGAGAAGGCATTTACTCTAATCTATTTAAATCCAATAAGCACAAGTCCTAGAGAACTTCCTTCCTGTCTTTCAGGAGTAAGCAGCAGGGTGAATTGCCTTCAGCAAAGCCTTAGTGACAGGGCATGTCCTGCGCCACGACAGGAGGAGCGACCGTGCAGCAGCTCTGCTTTGTCTGGGCACCACTACAACCCATCTCTCGGTGCCTGGCACTGCTCTCTTCTAACAAAGTAGCTTTTAGGATGTGGTCAGCTTAAACTCACCTTCAGCTGTTTTTCCTGCTTTGATTCTTTCTCTTTTTCTTTTTTCTGTTTCTTTTTCACAGTCACATTTCCATCTACCTCTTCTCCTTTTCTCTTTCTAATAGAGAAAAACAAAACACAACACATACACATGAGAGGAAGTTATTTAAATGCCTGTCTATCAGTTAGCAGAGGTCAATTTACCAACTGCTGATATCTGCAGAGGCTTGAATATCCTCAGTGTTGGCAGGCAAACCCATTTTTCAAATTCCTCAGTGCTAAACTGTAGACATATACTTGGCTCTGCAACGCGAGCCGCCTCAATCAGGTCAGGTACACTTGGAGCTTTTCCACAGGGTAACTGTATGGTCCGGCAGAAGAGCAGAGGAAATAGTGCAATGTTTTCAGGCATGTTCATCTACATCTGTATTAGTTACACCAAAGGCACACTTAAGAATCACTGAACATCAGCACACCTCTCCAAATCTCAGCAGGTGTAGCAATGCAGGTTAGAAAGATCACAGCATCTTCCAGCTGAATCAACAGCTTGATTTTTCAGCTTAGACAGTCCAGACTAAATAAAGGACAGCAAACATGGTAACTCTAATAAGCCAGGAAATGAGATACTTCCCAGCTAGTTCCAATTCAGACCAGAATTAAGTTGGGTCTCTGAAATCAGACAGGAATCAAGTTTCTACTTGCAAAGTGCTCCCAGGCTGACAGCAGTTTTGCGATGTACTACTGTGCAGTTGTGTATGAGGAAATTTATTGTTAGGCACTGGGGGCTCAGAGCTGTGCAGGGAGAAGTTAAAGAAAATGCTGCTCAAGAAAGACTGGAAAGAAAAGGAAGCCAAATGAAAACGGAGGGATTTTGGCAGATTTCAGAATGATGAGAGACCTCAGAGGAAAAACACTTATGTTTCCGGAGTCAGGTCATCCCCTGGCTCTGCCTGGCTTCAAAATACATCAATATCAACAAATGAAATGACTGCGTGCTCTCCTTGTCAGGAAATAAAGGGAAATTTTGCCCCAGGTGAGGCAGGATGGGCTTCCAACTTGTGACAGAGCATGGACACAGCTTGAATCTCACACTTCATTTTGACAGAGCTGTTATTTTGAAACATCAGCCAGGTTTCATTTTAAAAAAGCGTCTGCCTAAACTTTTTAAGCTGTGGCTGATGGTTAAGCCATAAAGTTGACATTCCTGATTGCTCTCCTACTTACAATTTTAAACACTTCACTTTCTAGCACTTTGCTACCGTTAAGCTGTCATGCAGAGTTAGTCTTATTAGCTATAAAGTTGCATGAGGATGTCAAAAGGTACTCTTCTCCGGAAGACTCATGCATGAGGGATCTGTAAGTTCTAGTAACTGTCCTGGCCCTACAACTGGGCCAAGCTCTCACTTTATCTGCAGTGTCCACCACTATCCCACTGATCAAACCATGATGCAGAACATTGAGCAAGTCTTTAAGGGGCTGGTTTTGCAGAACAATTCATCAATCAGCTGTCCCCTGCCAGGTCCCACGAGCTGAGCCGGGGTTATGCTGTAAGGTCCACTGCCTCAGTGGGGACAACAGTTGCCCTGTGCTATGCAATTGCTTGCATTTCTTGATAAAAACTCCACATTGTGTTCCAAATCAGGCAAGCAGGAACCAGCACAGTAGAACTGGATAAAATGCACACAAAAGTCGTGCCTTCAGAAGTCCCCAGGCCAAGCAAGTGCCCTCTCATCCCCAGCTGCAGTCTCTGCAAGGGGCAAGACCAGAGCATCCACTGGGTGCCATCACAAGGACAACGACTTGTGTAAGTTTTAACAGAGTTATGGGTACGCTGCAGAATCTGGGAGAAACACATCCACTTGAGCACAAAACACTTTGCTGCACCTCCCCAAGCCAGAGGGCTTAATCACATAAATATTTAGGACGGGTGCCCAAACACCGTGTATCTGCAGTGCCTCTCCCTCGGCAGGCTGACAGTCGGGCTGCCTCCAGCAAGCAGCGCTCACTCCTGTGCCGTAACTTGTCTCCCAGTCTCCAAAAAGAGGAAAGCCAGCACACCAACCGCTGGAAGGCAATCACCCTGTTGAGAGGCCCCCCGTGATCCAGGGAAAGCATCCAAATTCCAGCAGGGACTCACGCTTTTGGCAGCTTCTCGTCAGCATTGAAGGGACAGCATGCTGCTCTCCTGGACAAAGTGATTACTGCACTTGTTTCAGCCACCCGAGCAAACCATAGGGCAGAAGGGATCCTCCCGACTGCGGAAAGTGTCAGTCAACAATCTTTTGTCCCTGACTATGCACAAAGCTGAAAGCAAACACTAATCATCATTTTATACAGTCTGGAGAAGGGGATGGCAAAACTGAATTCATCTTGCACCTTCCCAAAGCAGTGAATTTTAGAACAATCAACAAAATACACACTCACTGATACACACACGTTGATTTTATCTTCCATCCTTGGGACCCAACACAGTGTGCTGCTAACAGCAACTAGGTGCTACTGTGTACACCCTTTCTCTTGCTAGGGAGGAGACAGTCTTTCCATATTCATCAGGTACAGCCCAACAGCTTGGTAGAAGGACTAGTAAGCCAACACAAACCACTTCTCATCTTCACAGAGGACACACAACTACAAGATTTATTCTGACTTTTGAGAAGATGAAGAGGGAGATGAATTGTCCCACTCTAGCCTGGCCCTTCCTTACAAATCTACTCTCTATTTTTCATGCTCCCCTCTCTACAGTGAAAACAAAGGGCAGAAAGGACAGTCACAGCAACCCGGGATAAAGCAAGCAGGCGATGCAGGAACCAAGAACTCCCCTTTTCTCCTCCTCCCTGCAAAGCACTGCCAGACTGTTGCTGACCTGAGTATTTACCCCCTGCCTCAGGCAACCTCTGTATGACATCTCCACAACTACACCTTGTTCCTGTCCTGGGCAGCAATTCTACCCAAACAAGTGAGACAGAAAATACAGGAAAGTCTAACAGCTTGGAGCAGGAAGACAAAACATGCTATCAAAGCAGCATAAAGGGAGCTCTCAAGCTGCTACTGCATTCCTGACATCAGTACATGAGCATTCTGTCCACAGAGAAGCTGCTGGCAAGGCCATAAGATCCTTCTCCTCCAGGCCTGCAAAGTGCTGGTGCTCACGCATGACAGCCCATAGCCCAGGGGAGGGTCAGCACGTCTCACCCAGAGCCGACCATGAAAAGGAGCAGGGACGCTTGCAGAAAAAACTGCCCGCTTTTGCCCTTCAGAGGGAAGGGATTTTCCAAACTATTCTTGGCAGCCCTGCTCTGCACCTCGCTTCTCTCATCTGCAAGAGGCACGTCACACCACCGCCCTTAAGTAAGGGCTGCCAGAGCAGACCCAAAGTCTGAGCTCCAACTCAGAGTATGGGCTAGACAGACAGAAGCAGCACCTGAATTTCGATGTGTCGCATCTGAATTGCGGAGACATCTGAGTCAAGATATAATTTGGATGCAGCACAGTTAGAAATATCTTGAAAGGTCACTTTAAGCATCTCACCTACAGCATATGCTGTAACATCATTTCTGTGAGATGCTGTAGTTTCTGTTCTTTTCTGTTATCTAACCAAACGCACAAGATGAATTATCAGAGGTAACTGCATCTCATGCAAGCTTTTAGGGTGTCCTTCTTCTGGCTTCTCCAGTACTTCTGTGCTTTCTTGGCAGAAAAATCACCAGGTAGGAAGCACATCACACCTCTCCACTCATTCTGTTTATGTACACTCTCACTCATTCAGTTTGTTTGACAGACAACTATTTTTCCAATTGACCCTTAATACCCTTGGCTCAAGCACACAGCCCAAACAGCAGAAGAAAGGTAGTGGAGCATAAGAGCCAGCCAGCACCTTCACGGTTGAGGGCTTGTGCATGCAGAGCTTAGAAAGCAGGAAATATGAGACATCCTGCAGCTTTTCTGGCATGAGGTCCTGGTTCACATTACCCTACATCACCAGTCTAAGCTTCTTTCCACTGCAATTCTAGGCTTTTATTTACACAGTGACTTGGCAAACTGCTTCTTGGCCTATCTTTACAAAGCTTTCATATTTTGCATAGCATCCCAGAAGTGGCCCAGAAAAGCAGAGTCAGGGCAGACAAGAGAAACACTTACACAGTCAAATCTCTAGAGCTTTGCTGAAGACATGGGAGAAAACTACAAATAACCCGACCAAACTCACACGCTGTTCTAGGACAAAGCGCAACACACACCTTGGCACAAAAAGCAAAGGACTACTTGAAAAAGCTGTGAGTATATTAAAATGCTGTGCTTCTGCTTACACCCTGCAATACACAGAGACAAAATGCCTGCATGAAAACACATCAGGCTGCTGGGCAGACGCAGACAGCTCATCTCAGCCTCCAGCAGTTGAGCCGAATGAGATGAGCAGCACAGAACCTGACGGGGCTCTGACAGGAGCACCCACTCCCCCACCACTGCAGGACCCTCTCCCAGTACCCACCCCACTGCTGAACACTTCTGTAGTGACCAACACTTGCCAACCAAGGGTAAAGCGCAGGAGCTACATCCTCTGAACAACATACAGATGGGTTTGTGCACACCCCGCTCCGTTACTGATGGCCGAGGAGGTCATTCATACACACACACGAGGCTCTGAGCAGCCCATCAGCCGCACATCTGGAGGACCAATATTGACAGGGACCGCACAGGCTGAACACAGCTACGGCTTTTCAGAACCCAACATCCATCTCACTGGACAGTTACACAGTGAGTCTTTGCAAAACTTTGCTGAATTCAGTCTACAAGGCACAGGGAGAAGCCCGATGTTTTACAACAAGACCCTTCCTCTCTGTGGAACCCAGAAATACGTTGTGTTCCTTCCTCCATGGGGACAACGCAACACTGGCTTGCACTGTGAAGCATGACTCCAGGCGAAGTCACTTCAAAAACAAGTAACTTCACTAACAGAGAAAGATTGACCAAAGCTAGCAAGTCACCCGGAACCACTTCTCTGTCAGTACAAGTTCTGTCAAGAGCCTCCACTAAAGATTTCAATGCAAGGCAATGAAATTTCACACGTACCATAAAAGATTTAGCAAACAAAAGCACCCAAGTGTAAGCGCTGCATGGCCAATAAACACCATTATCAGATTCAGTGCCTGTCATAGATCAGCAGCTCATAGACAAGAGATGTCAAATCAATTCTCTAACAAGTGGTTAGAGTGGAGAAACCATCACTGATAACAGCATCACACAAGGAGGTGCAGAGCCAGTATCCATTTGTATTACGCATGCATTATTTTATGGTTCAAAGCTCTACATCGGTCCTCCAAGTCACAGCTGCTGGTCTCCGCATTTTCTCAAGGCAGTCACAGGGGGCAAGCTGACTCCACATTCCCAGGGACAGGGAATTTGTCTGTTGTCATCTGCTAAGGTCACAGGAATGACCAAAGCCCCCTTATGACCAATATTCTTCTAACAGAGACAACAATGTCACAAAACATTTATCATGGACGTATTTGAAGGCAAGCAACGGCTTCTCTAGACAACCCGATTTCTTACATCGCCCACATACCCTTCACTTTTGGTAGCCGGGAGCTGCTTCTTCAGGGTTTCCTTATCCTCAGCTTTCAAGATGCTGAAGCCCAGGAGCTGGGTGGCCCCATATGCTGGGAGGAAGCCCAGCTCTGCTCGGCGGCTCACAAAGCAGTCTGGGTGGTACCAGTTATCTATCATTCCCAGCTGCGGCTTTTCAGGATGCACCATCTTCTTGGAAATCCGGATCTGGCCCTGAGGAAGATTAAAGTAACACAAGAGCAATTGTTTGGTTACTCTGGAAAAATCTGGAAAAAGCAGGATGTTAACAAGTTACCAACATCATCCTTCTTAAACACCCGTGAAATACCAACAGCTCCTCTATGAGAGCTGTTTCTCTAGGGTTCCTCTGATTTCTTCAATACTCTTGCTACGTTGAGAAAACCCAGCTTTTTAGGTAGTTTTCTGTTCAAAAACACTCATAGAATGATTACTAGAATTACAGAATCATTAAGGTTGGAAAAGACCTCCAAGATTACCACAACCAACCGTCATCAATACAGGTAATCCTCAAATTACTGACTCAAAACAGGTAATCCTGTAGTCTTTATCCCAACTCCCAGTAAGCTTGAACAAACCAAACTCACATGACCAAACCCCACGCAGGCAACTCTAAAAACTAACTTTAGGTCCCTAGCACTCAAGCAACAGTACTACCATATCTCACCTCCTCGTACTGCAGATTACTTTTTAGATGCTTAGTAAGTAGTTGCTTTAGGTGCTTTCAGACTTCATGCTCCAACAAGAAATTGCCCACACCACTCACCAACATTTCTGCAGACACAAGTGTACCAGCACTAGTGTGTTTGGCCCTTGCAGGTTTATCTACCTTTAACAGAGGCTCATGACTTAATTTTGCCAACTGTCTTTAAAAGCAGAGCAATAAGACATGTTCAAATACAGGGCTGCATTGTTAATTAGCTGCACTACTGGTTTTGTCTCTTTTTGTGGAGTTAATATGGATACACTGCACACAAACGGAGCTGGTCTGGCTGAGGAGGAAGAGGACAACAGTTATGCAGCGCTGCAACAAGCAGGAAAAGCTCCGGTTAGTGATGGCTCTCTTGCCACAGAAATGCTGGTGAGTGGTGTTCCAGACTGCTCTAAGACCCAGGTGAAAGAAAGCATCAGCAGATCTGAAGCCCAGGCTACAAGGCCTGAGGGATGCCTTTGCTGTCAGCGGTCCAGGAGCAGCTGCTCCTCAGACACAGAAAACGTAGCTCTGTAAGTGCTTTCCATATGCAGGCCAGACGGAAGCAGTTATGAAATTCACTCTTTGAATCGGAGCTGATGGAAGAAAAGACAAGAGATGGAGAACTAAAAAAAGCTTTTTACCTTTTCTATTTTCTGTTCACAGCCTTTGCAAGTACTTCTGTTAGACTTCGCATATTCTGCGGCAAAGTCATTTAGGCTCTTCTCAGCCTTGCCACCTCCTTCCTGTTCCCCTCCTTTTCCTGAAGAACAAAGCAAATACAGAGTTTGGCTTTAAAGGCATTCCCTTATTTTTTCTTATTTGCTGCCCCAGATTGTTAGCAGTTTGGATTAATAAACCTCTGTGTTTCAGCATCTCATCTGTCAAGAATTTGAATGCAGAGCAAGATATGCAGTCCATGCTCAAAAGCTCTTTTAAAATAGAAAGTGTTCTTTAAAAAGACAAGTAGCAATTGTGCAGGATTGCTTATTTAATGATTTTAAAAGACTTTCAGAGGTGCACAGGACTGACCCTTTTCACTACTCACCTGAAAGTAGTGTAAAATGTGGGGACACCACAAGAATTCATTTGCTGAAGGGACACAGCAATCAAATAAGCACACAGACAGCTTGAGAAGAGGGAGCATGGTTCCAGGTGAACCTCCGAACACCAGGAGACCTCTGCTTACCTCCTCCAGGGCCTCCAGTTTCAATGGCTTTCTTGATTTTCTCCTGATCTTCCCACCGGAGCTCAGGGAAGCCATCAATGTCTGCGTAGGACACGATTCGAGCGCGCTTCCAGAAGCAGCTGTAATGATGCCAGTGAGGGACTTTGCCATCAAACATGGGTGACTAGGAAGAAAGCATATTAGGCTGAGATAAAGCAACTCGGACAGAATCAAGGGAAAAAAATAAGATTAAAAAAAGAAGTATCTACATAAACGGAAGTGATTTCTTTGTATTATTTTTTTTTTTAAATGAAGAGATGGATACTATTTAGGACAAAGCCTAAGACGAAAATCTAGTATGACAGACAAGCTGCTGGAGAGAGGTCCCAAAGGGGATAGAGCATTTACCTAGCTTAACCAGTTCATCACCCTGCTGCTTAGCCCATCTGCTTTACTCAAAACAAAAAGGTCTTAGCCTCAAGTGTGGCTATATCAATCCTGAGCAGACAAGGAAAGGCTGCTTCTCTGTGAGAATCAGATCATCTGCAGGCATGAGCAAAGCAAACTTGAGGCTGCGGAAAAAGTAACACGAGTGGCAACACAGGGCTTGTCTGCTACAACCTCCTTGGAGACTGCTGCAGCACAAGAGGCTGCCGGCCTCGCTCTGCAGGACCTCCATGTGCAACACACAACCCCCTCGAGAGCCATTTCTCAACCAAATTGTCCATGCCCTGGAGATCCCATTGCCAGGCGTGAGACAGGAGGAGCAGCTCCAAGGGCTGTGGCTTGAAGAGATTTGCGAGGAGGCTGCAGGATGCAGAGGCAAAATCAAAAGGAAACAACCAGAGCCCAACAAGGTCCTGCATCAGGACAGAAGCATCACCGAGGTCCTCTCCAGAGTGCATCTCCCAGGTGCCCTGCCTCACATCAGCCTCATCGGGAAAGTGCTCCCCTTGCTTATGACTCAGGCACGTCAAGTACCAACCTGGCTTCATTTTCCAGTTACCCATCAGACAAAATAACAATGTAGTGGTTTGGCTCCAAGTAATGCACACAAACAACTGCTGTACTAATAATATTCAGTGCTATATAATTATTATTACTGATGATACAGAATTAACGACCTAGGAAAGCGTTCTAAGTATCACTTGCCAACAGAGAAAGCAACAGCTGAAAACAACAGCAATGAGCTTTATGCATGAGTGAGGAGGAGAAGGAAAGGGCCTTGAAGACCACAGTGTGGGACTAGGAGGGCTGGGAGGCTCAGTTACAACTAACCATCAAGCAAAACTGCAAGAGGACATTTAGACTGCCAGCAGGACTCTTCCCACAAGCCAGGATTCAGATTAACCAGTTACCCTCGCAACACCACAGCCACACAGCTGCCACCCCGGGGTTGCTCTCAACATGTCTGGAAGTTACACACAGCTCTGGCACTGAAAGTTGGTCACCCTCGAGCTCTGGGCTCATGCTTGGAGTTTTCATCTCATGGCTCTCTCCTTAACACAAAGCCTTGGGGGGCACAAGGCACCGGGGTGCGTGGAAGGAGACAGAGCTGGCTCAATCGTTAAGATAACCATGGCAAGCCGTGAATAGATGTCTGCTACATGGTGTGCACCTCAAGTAAGACCTCTCTCTGTGTAGGAAATGAAACCTCCAGGCGAGCTAGGCTTTGTTTGCACAACTTCTCTCAACTCACCTATCTCTAGACCTAAACAAGGCACAGGAAAAGGAGACCAATTCGCTTTCACATGGCACATGCAGATAACAGAAACCGCCCAGTTCCAGCAGGAAGCAAAAGTCAAAGCTGCTCTGCTCCTGCAGTATCTGGGTGCCAGCTCTGCTCCAAACACCTGACCCTCTCTCGCTTGATTCAGAGCTCTTCACTTGAAGAACCAAAACAAAAGTGTGGTTATAGCAAAGATAGCACCCTGTTAATGGCTTTGTCTGCACCTCCCTTTAATTTCTTCTGCACAATGTGCACTGAGGGCAGAGGCTGTTCTGCAGGGGACTTCCCCAAGAGGAAACAAGGGGCCCGGGTGCTCTGGTGAAAGTCAGGCCCTTGTAGGGTGGGGAAGGCTCAGCAGCAGGGTGCGGAAAGTGCTCTCCTGGCACAAAAAGTGGCAGCATGGAGAGGTAGCCCTTTGCAGGCAAATTTAAGAAGTTGTGCGGGGAAAAAAAATAAAATACAATTACAGGTGGTTCATGTAAGAGCAGCAGTTTTGGGGAGATGGTTGGCTAAAAGGCAGGTGAGGGGTGCCATGGTCCCAGCTGTCCCCCTCCACCTGCCCCCAGGAGATGCTCAGTAAAC